AAAAAAAAAAAAAAAAAAAAAAAAAAAAAAAAAAAAAAAAAACCAATTAATGGATACCCATAAAGATGCATTAAGCCTCACACCTCACATACCTCCTCCAAAGACCTCTCAACCCTCTAAACATCTTACAATTGCTCTCGAGAAAAACCCACACAAGACTCGCTTTATCCTTAAAATGAGAGCTCTAGGGATCTCCTCATTCCATAATGTAAAAGTTGCCAGATGGAGTAAGAAAACTAGCACCCTCCCCCCACAAGATGATCAAGATCCTACTCTAGCTATCCACAAAGAACATGCCACTTTAAACGCAAAATCAAGGAAGAATGCGGTGGATATGATCCTGAGTATTCACCCTGCCATGTCAAGCATGTCAGACAAATAATTTCACTATCTTTGAGAGTTTAACCTTCTAAAAAGAGGAAAAAATTGAGGCTCCCTGAATGGGTGAAGGAGAACAAAGAATGTAAAAGAAGAAACGAAAGGAGAAATCCTTTGAAAGGTTAGGCTCTCAAACCCAAAAAACCCTCATTCCTAAATAAACCCTTTGGTAAAAAACCAAAAAAAAAACCAAAAACAAAAAACAAACGGCCACCCCCTCAAGAGACTCGTGATCAATAAGAAGACAACAAACGCACAAGAAAGCGAGAGGGAAAATTCATGGGAAAACAACATAGAGGCAACCGAACACCACCTCTCCTTGGACAATTTTAATTTTCTACAATCAAGATTTTTTTCACCACTTGAATCTATTAGTCCTCTTCAATTTTTAAAATATATTTTTGACTGCATGAACCGACTTAGTTGTTCTGCTAATTCCATGTCATTAATTCCTATGAAGAATCCCAGGCAGGAGGTCCACTACCAGGGTATTGCTCTCTACTAAAGTGACTAGAAGTATTAGGATATAAACCAAAAGACCTCCATCAAGCTCAAAGCATCAATAATTAGCAATTCATGTCTAACCTAAACCTTGGGGTTGATCTAAATGGATTTGAAGGTGTTATGGTTTGGGAATTAGCAGGAAATTCTTCAGTTCCATAGTGTTGACATATCATTTAGTTATGTGGAAGAATGTCAAGGTACTAGTATACTATCATCATTCATCACAACATACAAAGATATTGTAACCTGTTGCTCCAATTGCCGATTGCGCTCTTCGAGACGTCTAATAGTGGCCTGCTGATTCTTTAAATGAGTTGCTTCAGTTCTAAACTCCTCAAGCTCAACTTTCATTTTCCTGTTCTCAGATTCTAATTCAGACAACTTCAAATCTTGTTCCTGCAAAGAGAACATTATGCAGCATAATCATTAAGAGATGAAAAAACAGTATAAAGCAGCGGGTTTTAATACAAAATAGCCATGCTTCTTCATTTCCTTTTCCCCCATTGAGTGAAGAGAAGAGATTGAATTCAGACTACACATGATCGTTCATGAGATCGGTATATATATATATATATATATATATATATATATATATGGAATATGAAACATGGAGAAATTCAGATATTCCACCTTATCAACATTAGTACTTGAACATTGCTTCCTTTTGTTCTTTTGTCATAAGATCGTTCATAGTCTACCAAAAGTCATAACCAAATCTAAAGGCTCACATCTGATCGAACAACAGTAATATTCTAAGCGAGACTCCATACTATTAAGTAGATTTAAAAGCTTTCGGCACTTACACCAATTGAAGCAAGAGCAGGATAAGGATCTGGAGCCTCATAAAGTTTCTGATAGATGTTAAGAAAAGCATTCTCTCCAAATTTTGCCCTCTTCGTGAGATTGTCAACTTCTTCTTGGTAACTTTTGAGTAGAGAACTAAACAAGTTCAATTTTTCCTCTGGTTGAGCCTTCTTGAAATCTGTGAGAATGCACAGTTAGATAATTTTAAAAACGAAAAACCTTACCAGAGACATTTTCAGAGGAAAGCTTATAAAAAAACAGAAGGTGGCATGAGCAACAACCTCTTGTACTTTCTGCAAGCTTCCGACGATTTTTCTGGCTATTTTCTTGGTTTTCAGCTATCCTAAGTCCTTGTTCATCCAATGCACTTTTCTCCTTCTCTAAATCAAACTCTGTAAATAGGAAATAAATGACCATATTGTGTTAGCAGAGGGTAAATTTTCCTTGCAGTTTCAAATTAAACAACAACTGATAGTACTACCGGAACTTCATATCCAAAAATACAAAATGTTTTCGCGTATTCGTGAGCACTATTTAACTCAACGCTTCACATTGCGACATACCTTTCCCCAATGGAAAGGTGAGCCGTCAACAAGAACCGCTCAGTATAAAAATACTAGTCTTCTCAGTATAAAAATGGCCTCTACAAGCAGAGCCCAAATTGGAAACTAACGCGTAGAAATCCAGCAGAAGATTTGCAGTTAAAAATGAATTACGAAGCTATGAATCAGAACATATCATAGACTACATGATCATCTTAAGCTAATTAATAATCAAATTCAAACCGACCAAGGAACGCACGAATTGAAAGATAGTCCGATTTACAATTAAACTATTACCTTTCCAGAAACTAGACACGACGGAGACGGGGGAAGCTGACGATGAGGAGTTCGGCGGTTTGTCCCTCTCGGATCCACCTTTCGGAGACTCCATGTTTGGGAATGCGCACCTCGGAGACGACCGCTGAACGAGTTCAGGACTGCGATCACTTTCCAATACTGGAAGCGCAAAGCTATTACACAAATTCAGCGAGTGATTTGGAGATCAAAAAAATGGTGCAGATTCCGGGGAGCTTCAGCACTTCGGGTATAGAGAATTCGACATCGTTTCCTCTGTGTAAATCTGGAGAAATGATCTGTAAATTTGCAATGCAAGGGAAAAACGGTCCAGTTCGTTGAAGGTGAATCGGTTCGGCAAGACCGACGGATATCTACTGGGCCAAAATTTTGGGCCGATTGGACCATAATATCACCGCAATAAATTGAGGGGAAAAAAATCTCATTTTTTCTATTAAAAAAACTAAATTAATAAAAATAACCCTAACTTTATACTTTTATCAAACAAAAAATAAATAAAAATAAAAATTTATTTATTGTTTATAAAATATTCCTAAAATTTTAAAAATAGTATTAACATCTCTTATTTTCATAATGTTTTTAAACGTTTTAATGATATTTTTTTTAACATAGTAAATATATTTTATTTGAAGTTTTTTTAAAAAATTAAAATACTTTTTAATTTTTAAATTTAAAAAAAAATTAAAAGTATTAATTAAACTTTTAAAGAGTAAAATACTTTAAAGTTAAAATGACATTTTTTAAATAAAATAAAGTATTAACCGTATTCATTTAAAATTAACAAGCATTTTTTATTTTTTAAATTTAAGGATATTATTTAAACTTTTAAAAAAATTGTGTATTTTTTTTTTACCGAACATAACTAAATTAATAAAAAATATTATCTTCTACTTTTTTAACTTTTTAAAATTTTCAATAATACTTTTAAATTATCTTAAAATTTAAAAAAAATGCTATTATTGTTAATTTTTTTTTTATCCAAATAACCAATAATTTGTTTAAAATATATTTAAATGATTCAAAAATATATTTGAATTTTTACAAATTTATTAATACCTTTAAACTATTAAAAAAAATAAAAAAATATATTACTTTACTTTGTTTCATTAATAAACTTAAATTAAAAAATAATATATTCTCGACTCAAAAACACCACAACTATATTTCAAAAATATCCCTAAGTTTAAAACTTAAAACACATCCACATTCGATTACTAAATGTATGTTCATTTTGTATCACCCTAGATCCATCGTTAGCTAGATATTATCTTTTTTGGATTTTTCCTCAAAACTTTAAAATGCGTCTGTTACGGGAAAGTTTCGAGCCATCTTATAAAGGGTGTGGAAATCTTCTCCTAGTAGACGCATTTTAAAGCCTTAAAGGAAAGCTCGAAAGGGAAAACTCGAAGATGATAATATATGTTAGTGGTGGATCTGGGCATTACAAATGATATCAGAGTCGGACACCGGACGATGTGTCAACCTTCTCCCTGTTCCCTGGAGGGGGTAGACAGAAGGTGGTGTGCCAATAAGAATGCTGGGCCCCACAAGGGGTGGATTTGGTGGTTGTCCCACATCGATTGGAGAAAGGAATGAGTATCAGCGAGGACGTTGGGCCTCGAAGGGGGTAGATTGTGATGTCCCACATTGGTTGGGGAGGAGAACAAATTACACTTTATAAGAGTGTGGAAACCTTCTCTTAGCAAACTCGTTTTAAAGTTTTGAGGGAAAGCAAAGAGAATAATATTTGTTACTTGTGGATCTAGAACATTACACCTTCGATTATTAAATGTGTATATAGAAGGTTAAATTACAAATTTAAATCTCGGAAAATTGATAGATGTATAAAATTTAATTTTAATTTAAAAAAATTTAAATGGTCCATAATCTATTAATAATGTAAAGTTTACGAATTTGTTATATTTTTTGGATTTAATTGTTTGAAAACAAAATTAAAAGTTTTAAAAAATTATTAAATCCTTTTAAGAATTTACAAATTGAGGGAAAAAGCCGAGTGATATGGAGAACTGAAATAGGTCAAGGGCATGACACATTTGATCAAAAGTTCAAATTTTGCACATTCTTGGCGCAGCTTTTCCGTTTGGGTTTATCATGATTCATGAACTCTGAAAATATCATTTCGAAACGAATTGGATTTCGTTACAAGAATCATGAATGCTCAAGCTCATCTTCTCAAACGCTGCCCTGTTGGAGTTCTTCGCATCCACTACATTCAGCCATTTTCTTCGATCCCTTTGCCAAATTCTGTTTCCGATATCGATTCCCACTTAATTTCCCTCTGCAAAAATCTGACTCCACGAAACGCCAACGAGGCGCTTTCTGTCTTTCACAATGCCATCGCTTCTAATTCTCTTCCTTCTGGATTAACCTGCAACGCACTCATGGCTGCTCTCACGAGGACGAGAAATTACGAAATGGCTTTATCTGTCTATGGTAAGATGAGTTTTGAAAATGTGTTCGTAGGTTTCAGATCACTTTGTTGTTTAATCGAATGCTTTGTTTATACTCGTGGGGTGAAATTTGCCTTTGGGGTTGTGGGATTGATTATCAAGCAGGGTTATATTGTTAGTACATTTGTTTTCAATGTTATGCTGACGGGATTGTGTCGAATTGGTGATGTGGAGAGAGCAACGGAGTTGTTTCATGAAATGAAAAGGTTTTGTGTATTACCAGATGTGATTAGTTATAATGTGCTAATGAATGGACTCTGCAAGAATGAGAAATTTGAAGAAGCGCTTCGATTTCTCGAAGAAATGGAGGCGATATGCCAGCCAAATATGGTGACATATACAACCATGGTGGATGGGCTTTGTAAGGGTGGAAGATTAGATATAGCTGAGGGTGTATTGGACAGAATGAAGAAGAAGGGATTGCAGGGGGATGTTGTTATGTATAGTGCTGTTATAAGTGGTTTTTGTAACAATGGGAATTTCTCTAGGGGAAAAGAACTCTTCAATGAGATGCTAGAGATGGGAATTTGTCCTAATGTAGTTACATATAGTTGTTTGATGCATGGTTTATGTAAGGAAGGGCAATGGGAAGAAGCGAAGGCAATGTTGAATCATATGACAGACCGTGATATTTGTCCCGACGTTGTCACTTATACATGCTTGATTGACGGGCTTTGCAAAAACGGGAGAGCTAAGCAAGCGTTGAACATATTAAATCTGATGCTCGAGAAAGGTGAAGAACCTAATACTATCACTTATAATGTTTTGATAGATGGTTTGTGCAAAGGGGGACTAATAGAGGAGTCCTGTAAAATCTTGGATATGATGATAGAGAAGGGGAAGAAGCCTGATATTATTACTTATAACACTTTGCTCCTAGGACTTTGCAAGGATGGGAAGGTTGATGAAGGAATTAAACTTTTTAATTTGACATTGAAGGATAAATGCTATGTTAGCCCTAATGTTGTGACGTTTAATATGCTGATTCAAGGGCTCTGTAATGAAGGTCGTGTTGAGGAGGCCGTGGAGGTCTATAATACAATGAGTGAACATGGAATAGCTGGGAACTTGATGACTTTCAATTTTCTAATCGGAGGTTATCTCGAAGCGGGAATGATCGACAAGACTATGGAAACATGGAAGCGTGTAATAAACTCGGGATTTGCTCCTAATTCAATTACCTTCAGCATAATGATTAAAGGACTTTGTGGCTTGGGTATGACTAGCATGGCTAAAGGACTTTTTGGTAGAATGAATACACACGGGCCTAGTCCAACCGTGATTGATTACAATACATTGATTTCATCCATGTGCAAGGAAGGGAGTTTAGACCAAGCTAAGAGTTTGTTTCAAGAGATGAGTAATGTAAATCTAGAACCGGATATTGTTACATTCAATACCATAATCAATGGGTCTCTAAAAGCCGGGGATTTGTCATATTCCAAAGAACGACTAATGGACATGATTGGAAAAGGCTTAGCTCCAGATGCTTTGACATTTTCAACGTTAATCAATCGATTATCGAAAATTGGTCAGATGTGTGAAGCTAAGATTGTTTTTGAGAAAATGATTGCTTGTGGTTTGACTCCGGATGCGTTCGTATATGACTCCTTACTAAAGGGATTTAGTTTGAATGGTGAAACTAAAGAAATTATTGACGTGATCCACCAAATGTCCGAAAAGGGTGTCACTCTTGACCAAGAATTAACTTGCACCATCTTAACATGCCTTTGCCAGAGTTCAGATCTTCCTGATATCTTGGAGTCTTTGCAAAAATTTTCCCATCCAACGTCAGATGGAAACCAAATGACATGCCGTGAATTGTTAGTGAGCCTCGAGAAATCTTATCCAGAGCTTAAGTTAGCAGTCGAAAATTGCAATAATGGCCCGAGATAATTCCTGTTCTAAGCGAGTTCTTTCTTCTTGCTATTCCTTGTTCTCAAGGTTCACCTCCCAGGATTCTTTTTCAAGTAAGTTATTTCCCATTTTAATACTGATTTCCCTTATTGTCGTGTATGTTCATCAGTTTTCTTTTAGCAACGATTTATTTAATCTCTCTGGTTTCACATGGCTAGTTGAAATAAAAATAGAAGGAATCAGAATCTCTCTCTTTCTCTCCCTTTTCACTTTTTACTTTTCCCTTCCTTCCATCTTAGCATGTAAACATTGAGTTCAGGAAAGAAATAAAGGAATAGATTTTTAGTTTTCATGCCGGGGATGATAAAAACATTGAGGAAAATAAGGATAAAGATCCTAAGGATGTAACTAAGTGACTCTTTTCCAGTGCTCAATTATTGTGAGATCCCATCGGTTGGAGAGAGAAATGAAACATTCCTTATAAGAGTGTGGAAATTTCTCCATAGTAGACGCATTTCAAAACTTGAAGGGGACGTCCAAAAGAGAGCCCAAAGAGGACAATATCGGCAAACGGTGGGCTTGGACTGTTACAAATGGTATCAGAGTCAGACATCGGGCGGTGTGCCAGCGAGGATGATGGGCCCTAAAGGGGGGTGGATTGTGAGATCCCACATTGATTGGAGAGGGGAACGAAGCATTCCTTATAAGGGTGTGGAAACCTTTCTTTAGTAGACATGTTTTAAAACTTTCAGAGGAAGCCCAGAAGGGAAAGCTCAAAGAGGACAATATCTACTAGTGGTGGGCTTGACAATGATGTAGAATTAAATTTTCCTCGTCAAAATAAAATTCCAATAGTCGATTGAAGTATTTCAATATTCAAAGTGGTAGAAAATCGATCTCCAGGGAGTTTTGGCTCCAATATATGACTTCGGTTACTTTTGTTTATGATTAATCGTGTAAAGTTTCCTAAAAATATCGTATACATGGCTGCGCTTACCTATGGTTGACATCAACTGTTACGGGTCTTTGGCGATGTATGACATATAAAATTGCTTTGGTGATGTATTCTTTTAATTTTCAAGTGACTTTATTATATTAGATTTGCAGTTCAGCGGGGATGTGCTCATGGTGCTACTAAAGCATGGTGGACTGATGGGAGTGAGCGTGGTTCAACGGTGGATTGCTTTGACATTGACGGAGATGACCTACAGTATGGAGCCTTCCATATATCTATAGGAATGGAAGAATATATTCAGTTCTACTTCTATCAGCACTCTTCTGGGGAGAGTTCCGTTGCTCGCCTTATATGAGCATCTCATGAGATAGGCTATATTGTGGAAAGGTCCCATCTACTTACCCGGTTGAAAATATTCGTCATAGTTCAAGCTTACTGCTAGCACATATTGTCCTCTTTTAACTTTTCCTTTCGGATTCTTCCCAAAATTTTAAAATGTGTCTACTATGGAGAGGGTCTAGTACTACTCTGACTAGTGGCTCGCACCATCCAGTGACTCGCTTTGGTACCATTTAAAACCTCGAGAGGAAGCCCTTGAACGGAGAGTCCAAAGAGGACAATATTTGTTACCGGTGAGCTTGAGTTATTACAAACGGTACAAGAGAGCTAGCGGTAAACTTAGAAACGGTTAAAGGTGATCAATGCTTTCTACTTTCTTTTCAGAAGGGAGATGAAAAACTCGGAGTTGCTTATACATTTACTTTTACATGAATTGCTCAAGCATGAAAATTGGCTTGATTGTCTGGAAGGAAGCAGCTTGACAAGGGTTGATAGAGATTTTGATCGACCTGTTTTAACCTCTCGTGTTGCATCGAGGGAATGAACTTGAGGTCTGTTTGATAATGTTTTTGTTTCTCGAACGTTTATGTTATATTTATTTTTTAGTATCTATCGTGCATTTTTTAAGTATATAAAAAAACATGTTAATGTCATTGGTACATTAGCGTGAACCCTTTATTGTACCTCATCAGTTCTTTGAAGTTATCTCGAGTTGGAAAATAACCCGTTTGTAAACAAATATCTTTGCCTCTTTATATAGATGCTTTCATTTCTTTTATTTGTCGTGTTCGTACATTAATTCTCTCAGGAAAAAAATCCACAACGTAAGCGTGGATCACAACTTTACTAAAGGATGAATCGTCAAATTAAAAAAAAAAAAAAATCAAAAGAAGATATCATATGATCATGAAAAACATTATTAACGGACCACAACAAATAGATTAATTATATTCCGTGAGACTATAGTATATTTCTCTTAATTTCAATGGTTTAAAACTTATAACTTCGAAATGATAGTTAATATTAATTATTGACGAATTATATTCGTATTTACTCATAAATAAATGATAGTTATTTTCTGATTGAAAAATGAAGAATATAAATTTAAACCTATAGTCTAGAAATGAAAATTCACACGTTAGCATAATAAATAAATATATTTTTTAATCATTGAAGAGTACATTACAATATTAAATTTTGATTTTTTTTTTTCGAAAAAAAGTTGAAAATTTAGAGATAAAAATTATAATATAAAAATAAAAAATAAAATTTATACGGCGGTGACATTAATAAAGAAATCAATATTATTGCAATAATAATATACAGCTGTATCGTGCACAATAAGAAACCCGACTTAATATTAAAACAATAATTCCAATAATTTGTGTCCTTAAAAATAATAATAATTTCATTTGCATTTAAAGAGCCTTATATATAATTCTCAAATAAATGCCTCAAAAATAAATATAAAATATAATTTCAAATTATAAAATATAGTTCGCAAATTTCATTTTCTTACCATTATAATATAAATATAATTTCAATAGGCTCGAATAATATTAATGTTAGGTTAAGAATGAAAAATAGAAATAAAAATAGAATTGAAAAGGTGTGTATTTTCATTGATATTGATATCCTTTAAATAAGATAGAAGGTAACAACTAATACCTACCCACAAGGAAAATATAAACTAATTAAATATTGATAATAAAATAAAATATACTTAAATCAAATCATAAAGGTAAGAATTTAAAATATATTCGGTAAATAATATATCAGTTATTTTTTTTGATTAAAATGTTAGAAATTCAAGTTATTACTTCAAATATTTTTTATTAATTTATTTTTTAAATATATATTAAATTAATATTTTGTTCTTTGTACATAAAAATTTGTTATATTTTACTCACACTTACATTAATTATAAATCTTAAATATCCTTATTATTAGTCTATAAATTGTGAAATAGATATTAATGTTGATGACATGGAAATTATGATTATTAATTAAATTAAGTTTATAAGACTAATTTTAAGATTAATTAGGTAAAATTTAAATAATTAAAAAATAATGGTATCCTAAGAAAAGGTAAATATGAATAATCTTAGCTGCCACGTGACGTCAGACTTAAAATTTATTAACTGCGGGTTAAATTTTTTTTAACTGTTGTATTATAATAATTATTATTACTTAAAATGAGCCCATTTGACAGGTACGGCCGGTAATAAGAACCGTAAAAGACAAAACGTGAAGCGTAACTTTATTGCGTGTAACTGAAATGGACAAGAAGTCCAGAGCTGCATCTGACCGGCTACCGTCCAAGCCAGTTACCCCAACAATAAAATTGCTTCCCTCTTCGTGTGGGATGCTTCTCCCTCACGCTCTTGCGCCCCAAGGCATCGTTTTTCGTTCTTAAATTTTCATTGGCTTGTGGGCCCCACGCAGATTTTTATTTGTTGTGACTCTCACGCGCAAAAATCTCGCGCGTGGTAATTATGCTTACTTTATTTGTAATTATTATTTCTATTTTCTTTTTCTAATAATTAACTCTTTTTATTTAGTGCGGTGATAATCCTCTGCTTTTCAATACAGCAGTTTCTTGGATGTCAAGCCAGTAATATGCTGCCACGTCACAAATTATAGTCTTGTGATTAAACACTTAGTTGGTGGACTTTTATAAGAATAACCAAGAAATAAAGCAATTAGTCTTCGGTGTGGGCGGACTTACTTTTCACTTCTCAAGCGTTAAATAAGTGAATGCAATCCTACCCTCTCCAGTACGGATTACAAGTGACAACTACAAGAATGACAAGAAAGTGAATGGTACTCGACGACATGAAGTAAATATTCTACATTTTTTCGTGACAGGTGGTTGTCGGTCCACTTCGAGAATGACTTGGGGGTACCCGTGCCCACAAAGAAAAAACACCTTAATCTTTGAATTCTAGTTTATAATAATTTAAATATAAAACTTTAATTTAAATGAAATATATTGATTAAATTCTTAATTTGATTAAAGAAAAGTACAAAAAAAAAAAAAAAAAAAA